ACTTTAAATTCATGCATTTATCTCCTCTTGTAACACTATAACATGTTTTAAAAGGCTTGTATCATGATAAGTTACCCCTCCCAGACCAAAGACAGGTCCAATATAAGATAAAACATTATCATAAACACTGCAGAGACGTCATTATTTATGAAATATAAGTTATTTTCCTGAGCCATTACTTCAGCCAAGATATAACCATGCTGTCTCATGCAGTCCTATATGTGTAACACACACACACACACACACACACACACACACTGCAGCATGTTAGAATCTTTTGAATGACTAATTTAGCTACACTGAACTGCTTTTGTAATACTTTAATCTCTTATTCTGGAGTAAAATAAAGAAACAAGTTAAATCATCACATATCTGTGGCATCAAGGAGCATCTTCTGAGTTCAAACACAGGGATGGAGCACAATGTTTACACCTGAACAGTATCAGGATGTTTTAACTCACAGAAGCCTGCAGGTCTTCTGTTTTATGAGCAGAGCGCTGAGAATCCGCTTGTTAGGAGCGCTAAACGTTATTGGAGCGGTAGGGAAACATTTCAAACACGGAAACGAGTCTGGTTACCGACCCGAGCATAATTCTGATGACGTCACACCGGTGCACGAAGGTGCGGTTCCAACCCACAGGGGAGGAGGGAGAGAGGAGGTAAACAGCGAGTGGATCACAGGGACTGAACTGATGTTTTTGAGCAAAACTGCGGTAAAAATGGCTGTTTGTCCTCATTATCAAGTGTACCCCCCCAGGTTTAGATGCGGTGCTCATGCAGGTGTCTTTCTGTTCCGACGCTGCTGCACGTAATATTTTTAATTTATTAAGCCTACAATTTATTTTTACTCAGTAACAGATATGATTTAAAATGTAGCGAATTACAATTATTTTTTTAAAACGTACTCGAGTAAAAGTAAAAGTACAGATTTTAAAAACGACTTAAAAAGTATAAATATACAAAAAAGCTACTCAATTACAGTAACGTGAGTCATGGACGTAATTTTCACTTTAGAAGTGGGGGGACACGGGGGGGGGGGGGGGATCTTTACAGTATGCTCTAATGGGAAACAGGCTTCAAAACAAACAGTTGTTTTCCAGTTGGTCCTCAACCAGTGTCAATTTAATATAGCGTAATATTGTTTTCTGATGGTAAAAAGTGCAGGGGTCAAAACTTGACTTTGGACAAAGTGGGGGGGAAATGTCCCCCCTGTGTCCCCCCCCCCCCCCCCCCCCCCCCCCCCCCCCCCCAAAATTACATCCATGACGTGAGTAAATGTAATTCGTTACTTTCCACCTCTGGTCTAAGTTTAGAGACTGAAAATCACGTAAAAGTTTCCAGGCCAGACCGAGGCTCTACTGAGGCCTTTCCACGGAGCTAGCTCTGTGGTCACGTGGGTCTGATGCTCATTAATTATACAGAATTTTAGGCTTTTAATACACTTAAACAGAAGAATGAGAAAAAATTCACCCCCCTCAGAGTTGTCATGAGTGTAAACTAGATCATTTAAACCAAAAACATGTTCTGGTACCAGGCTGTAAACATGTTTATTTCTGCTGTGAAATTGGTATTTTTAACATGGGAGTCAATGAGGATTTGCTCACTTCTGACACCAGCCCCTAGTGGTTGAGGGTGGAACTGCAATTTCTGTCACTTCCGCATTGGCTTCAATTTCAGACCCTCATTGTGGGGGGTTGTTTTCCTCTGCACAGTCGCTGCATGGGAGTATCTCTTGACCAGCCTTGAGGACTCGAGGGGCCTACGACCTTTGAACTTCAAGAAGTCTAACAACTTGCCATCCGTGCTGCCCATAGGACTTTGCTGCCGGCAGGTTCTCCTGAGAGCCCCCACCACACTGGCGTTGGATGGGTTAAGATTAACTAACTAAACGTCAATAAATTCATATAAATAATAATAATACATTGGAATCAGTCAAATAAAACCAACAAATATTTGTAATACACAATATAGAGCCTGATGATTTTAATATAGTTGTAATTTTACTCAGTAAAACAAACAAAAGATGCTTTTTAAAAACAATTTAATCAGTAAAAACATAGAAATATTTCCAGAACAGAACACGTTACCTCAAAAGAACTGTAAAAGCAATTTATCAAAACAACACGCATGTGAAAAGTAAACATCTGTGTAGGAGAAGCCGCCAAATGATGCCATAAAAAAACAAAACATGTTCAAATCAGAAATCTTTGATCGACCAGTGTTTTGTTGATGAGGTTCCTTCTTCCCAGGCTGTTACGGATGAAGCGAAATATCTGCAAAAGATTTTCAGGTAAATGCAAATTCCTAGCACAATCCAAACTAAAATTCACACATGGCTGACTGACCGTTTGCTGCACGTATGTGAGAACAGCTGCGAGCACGAAGCTCTGAGATCCCAGGTCGACAACACAGAAGAACAAAGTGTCGAAGATCAGCAGCGTGGCCTCGTTTCCATAAAAGAGCACATCGCTGAAGGAGTGCGCCTCGTCTGCAAAGGGAGATGCGTCACGTGCACACGTACGAACGCGTGCAGATGAAGACTAAAACAAGATGTGTGTGTTACCGTTATAAAACAAGCTTTTATCAGTGGCTTCCATGAACTCCATCCCTATGACCCGCTCCATCATCAGTTTGTCCCTCACAGCGTAGTCCATATCCGGGTGACCCTGAGACAACGCGACACAAAAACCAACATTTCCAGAAGTTTTATTCAGACACAAATGAAGTGTTTGCTTTCCTGAGGTTATGTCTACTAACATGGTCAATGATGGATCCCAGGAAGTGGTTCATGGTGTTGTAGGCTCGGAACTGTAGCTCTGACAAGTTAGCAGTGGACGCGTCTATCAGTCGTGAGGGTCTGCTCCTCTGGAGAGCAGGAAGAAACCAACCATGTAAACCCAGCTGTGGGTCATTTGTTGTAGCAACGATGACGAATACAAGCCCTGACCCTGCTGAGTGAATCCTGTATCCGGTCATACTGCATCCTCAGGCGGTTTGTGATGGACACCTGAAAGGTCTGAATGTCTGAGTTGGGAACCAGACCTCGCTGACCACACAGGGACTCCTTCAAAACATGAGACACGTTTCATTTTATTTATGCAACATCCATTTAACAGAAGAAAACACCGGACTGGGGGTGTGAACGTACTCGCTCTCTCTTCAGATTGTTGTTCATTTCCTCCATGTTTGTGTCGGCGTGTCCGTGCACCGAGCGTCCGTGGATGTAGTAGCCGAAACAGCGACAGGACAGAAGCAGCACAGAGACCTCCACGAGACACACACGGCGGATGTGTGTAAAGCACTACAGCACAAACTGGAACAATTGCAATCTGGTGCAAAACCTCATAAATGTCAGTGATTCTACTTAAAAGATGAATGCCTCGGCATCCTGAAGCACAGAAATGTGTCTCCGCGGCACATCCTGACCGAGGTTAAACAGACGGACACACGGAACAAGAACAGACACAGGCAGGCCACGAGAGCGGCCGTTAAACTTGGAACGGAACGGAATGACTCTTGTTTTTCCCTTCTTTGCTCAAGACTAGTCCGCATGAGAGATGGTCTCAAGGGCTCATGCATTCCTTCTAACCTGCTTATTTTCAGCTCAACAGAAGAATGAACTCTTTTCTTTTAATTAATCAAAGAACTCTATTTTAATAAAGCTCATCCATCAAAGTGTTAGTCAATAAATAAGATGTGACCGACCTGTGAAATCTAAATATTAATTACTTTATTATAATCCTATAGAATATAATAAGTACTGTGACTTTAAGGGTTCCAACAGGACTCATTTCACGTAGCGTTAAAAAGACATGACGCATTACTTTCACTGATCCAATCAGAATCTTACAGATCTGACGGAGGCGTGGTTTTGATGGTGTTTGGTAATTTTCATTCGACAATAAACCAAAACATCCGACGTATGAAACAACGCCACGTCAGCTCTAACGCCAGTTCAAAGCGTTCCAGAGAAAGTGACGGAGTGGCCAATCCTGATCTCTGCTCTTTAACTGAAAGAACAACGACAAGCTGAAGAATTTGTTGCTATACCAACTGCGGCAACCGCTCCTTTCAGAACAAAAGCTGAACCATCAAGACCCAGGCTTGGGTCTCACCAGACGCCAACAAATGGTCGTGACCCGGACGTATCCCAGGACGGGTGGTCGGTTGCCGTGGCTTCTTCTACAGGCTCCGGCTCCATAAGGTCAAGCTGGACCTCTACACCTCCTGATCTAGACGGGGACTTCCGCTAAGGGTATGTAGACCGGCAAATGGTGTCTCGTGTTTATGAACCTCCTAACCAAAGCTTAACGCAAAGACAACACCTTCAGTTCCCATCAGAACTAATCGCTTCTTCGGATTAGCCGGTTCTGATTAACATCACACGTCATCCATTCACCGTCTCATCCACCTTAGTTACACCATACATGTAGTGTTTAAAGTTAGTCTAGTTTAATTTGTTGGTAATAAAATTCTTAACTTTTAAACCTGACTCTCTCTCTTCTGTTGTCTCTGAGTGAATACGAAGCAGTTATCTAATCCCTGCAATAAAAAGATCCAATCTGCTGGTTTAAATAACCTCACAGATCCGTACGGTGGATTTCATATTTCCTATGGAAACCCACGCCTTATGACTCATTAAATAACACGTAATCTAATTCATTACAAACCAATACATCAGATACTAAATCCAGATGTTTCAGCCTTTATCTGTAACTGATGATTATGGCGTACAGCTGATGAAAACCCCACAGTCAACAACAAGGTTCAATATTCTAGACTCAGTGTCCCACTGATCAGCTGATGAATCCAGAGCACCTGCAAAGGATTCCCGAGCCTTTAGATGGTCTCTCAGTCTGAGCTGGATTACTGACATAAATGGACTTTTTCCACTTTCACCTGTGCAGGTAGAAAACGTCTAAAATAAAAGCGCTGGTGTACTTACATTACTGACAGAGCAGAGGTCTACAAACTGGCGTATTTTGTCCTCCACAAAGTGCTCATAAAAGACAGTGAAGAAAATCACCTACAGGACCACACAGGAGAAGAGAGGCTTGTACGATCTGTCAGGAAGGTGAAAGGTCAGATAGAAGTGTGTGATGTACCTGCAGAAGCCCAATGCAGAGCCAAAGTGTAGCAGCCACACCATACCGCAGAGTCAGGCTGTAAGGAGGGGTGTAGGCCTGTGGGGGGCGCTCCAGAGTTGCCCAGGGGTCTCTTAGAGCCAGGTTAGAGAAACCCAGAACCTTAACAGATGTCAGGCATGAAGAAAATAAGCATGACAAATCCTTCAAAAGGAGCAGAACAGCTGTGTTTTTTATTTTAGGCGTACTTCAAGAAAGAAGAGCACTGCAACAATCTGAAAAGTCGGGCTGATCTTGCGGACGGTCTGGAGCTCGTTCCACTCGTTTGCCACAAAGTAGGTCCTCCAGATGCTGACTGGAGCGGAGTTGTGTCTGGTCTCCTCGGTAGCTGAAACGACAGTGATGAATGGCTGCTTAACCGCCAAACAAACATCACAGTAACGAAGCGTGTACCTGGCACAGATCTGCTCGATTTCGTTCGAGGCCGCTCCCAGTCGATTAGGAATATATCGACTGACACCTGCAGAAAAAGCTTGTGCAGAAACTGGACAGCCTGGACGCAAACACAGAGAGCAAGACTTCTTTTTAAAAACAAAATGAAAATAAATGTGACCCAGTTGAATGAATATGGGTATTTATGCATCTATTATGATCAGGGACCAACCTTCAGAGCAAAGGCACAACCAACGTAGGTCACAAACGGCTCCTCCTGAGAAGGAAGGGGCAGCAGCACTGATACGAACTGTTGGGCCTACACACACACACACACACACACACACACACACACACACACACACACACACACACACACACACACACACACACACACACACACACACACACACACACACACACAATCGGTTCAGAAGCAGCCATGAGCAATCAGGAAGTGGAAGAACGGAGGGATTCAGATTTACCTTCAGAGTCTAAAGAATGCAGAAGAGAGAAGATGAAGAGGACATGCAAAGACACAGAAAATAAACTTCATCTACAAACATTTTCAAAAAGATGGGGAGGGAAAAACCAACCAATGAGAAGGTTAAGTTACTAACCATCACTAAATGAGACACACCTTATAAAAGATGAGCCAGTATAGACCAGTTCCCACGGTGACAGCGAAGAAAACGTTGGCCAGATCTCCGGCGTAAAACAACAGAAACTTCAGTATGGTCTGAAAATATTACAGAGATATTAATAATAAATCATTTGTTTTATTTCTAGTTTATGACTTTTCTCTGTAGACCGTTAAAGCAGATAGAACGGTGTTACGGCTGCCAGCCTGGCCAGTGGGATGCAGGAGACAAGATCACCCAGCCCTGGTGATCAGCCTGACTCCGCCCCTCCTCCTCCTCTCTTCCAGGCTGCTGAGGAGCACAGCTGAGCTGAATCCTGCTGATGACCCACACCTGTATCCACACCTGGGATAAAAAGGCTGTGCCTTCAGCAGTGCAGGGGTTCTGCTGTCCTCCAGGCCTCATTTTGTTTTAAACCCCTTTGAGTTGAAGAGTTTTAACTCTGATAGTAGCCGTGTTCGAGATGAGCCAGTTCTGCGCAGAGTAGACCAGCGGCGATCGGCGAGCAGTGCATGCCGGTTAGATTTGTGTCCGACTTGCTCTGACGTCATGCATACGTAGGCAACGATATCCTCGTGAGATCAAGGCGGCCGCAGATTTTGGAGCAAGGCGCTGCAGTTGCTCTCCCTCGGCTGCAAAACCTAGAGGATGACGGGAAACGCCTGGCTCTCACCTGATCTAAGATCTGATTGGTTCACATTTGATCCAAACATCCGGTGGTAGAACATGAAATGATAGATGGTCACATGTATTCTGTAAATCATGTTATGTTGGTGATGACAACTATATAGGCCATAAAGAGGAATGTGTTTTGTGTTCTTTTGTCACGTTTCCTATGAGCACACTGAAGCTACAGCTGATAACCTTTACTTATTACTACAGTCAGGTCTTCATGTACAATACATGATATCCACAAGCACGTGAGGATGTGTTTCAGCTGCTAACAGGCACCAGAATTAAAATAAATAATTAAACAAGTATGAAGTCTAACGCGACATCTTCATCCATCGTCACCCGCGAGCTACACATGTAGGGAAATCTGTCCGACTTAAACGCCGGCTTTCAGCCACGCCCCCTGCTGCGTCCGTCTGCTCTCGTCTGTTTTCCAGGCGCGGCGCAGCTCAACTCGAACACGGCCAGTTTAAACTCTGAGTGATCCAGAGGGTTAAAGCTTAACTCTGAGTGATCCAGAGGGTTAAAGCTTAACTCTGAGTGATCCAGAGGGTTAAAGGTTAACTCTGAGTGATCCAGAGGGTTAAAGGTTAACTCTGAGTGATCCAGAGGGTTAAAGGTTAACTTTGATACAATTTTATTGACTTCGGTTTTAAAGCACCTTCTGTTCC